GCAAGGTTTCAATATACAGTCCAGGCTAGCCTTGAATTCACTTGGTAGCCCAGGCTGGCCTTGTGTTCACATGATTCTGCTCAAGGAGTGTTGGCCATTCTATGCACAGGGGCTTATTAGCCATTTTATCAAGGTGATTCAGTATAGCAAGCAATAGTGGCAACCCTAGAAGAAATTGTTTGGAGGCAGTTGGGCCTATTAGTGACCCTGAAATTCCAGAGTATTTGCTTTAGTGAGCCCCATTTTTCATATTTGATCACATTTTGTGTAGTAAGAAGTTTTCATTAAATAGTAAAGCAAGAAAGGACCAACATGAATCTTTTTTTTTTTTTTTTTTTTTTTTCTTCATGAATTGGTATATGAATGGTTTGGTGCAGTGGTAGGAACATAGGTGGTTAAAACTCCAGAGGCAGTGGTTCTCTCTAGCAAGAAAGGCCTGACCCAGTGACTTGCTAAGATGAATGATTTGGCAACAGGCAGTTGTCTGACAGTGTCACTAAATTAGTAGATTGGTCATCCATTTTTGTGTTCAGGTTAATGGTTTACTTAGTCGGCATTCATTTGGGGCTGTTATTCCATTTGTTAATTCTGAAAGTTATTGGACATTTGTTTAATACAAATAAATATATTTGGAGACAGTCAGCATTTAACTGTCCACATTAGTAGAAATAAGATACTTGCTGTAAAATAACATTTCAAGACATGATAGACTGTGATAAGGACAAAATGTCTTTTGGAAGGAAAATTTCAAATTAATGAATCAATTTCCTACATTTATTACTCCATTTTGGCAGCATATTTGTGTATCTCTGGATATAAATGAGGTAAAGTTATAATTAAAGCATTTATGTGCAACAGAGCTGTGGGACATACACAATTGCAGTTTGCCAATTGATAATAAAATAAGAATATCTGGAGATAATTTTCATGAAAATCATTTCGACTTTGCTAGTCCTATACAAAAAAGACCAGTAGAGGCATTTTTAAAAGTAAACACATTAAGATTATTTAATCAATTATTATGCTAGGAGAGGATAGTGAAACTGTTTCTAATAGTGTTTCTGTCCTTCCATCACTTACGGTTTTGTTTTCTAAGACTACATTTACCATCAGAAGCTTTTCAATTTCATCACAAAAGTGTCTGCACAACCACAGCGTAATTGAACTCACACTTTGACATTGGCCTGAATAACCTGAAGCGCCCGAGTTTTCAGTAACAGTTGTGAAGTTTATTGAAACATGCTAGGACTAATATACCTTTCAAGAGGAGAGGCGACTTAAAAGGGTTATTAGAATTATTACAAAGTGATTTTTCTTCTTTGACTTTTTTTCCAGAGGGGGTGGAAACTTAGCTTCGTGCTATTTCATCTAGTACTTTCTAGCTCCCAGCTGGCCAGGTTCTTTGTGCCATGTAAGCCTCAAGTTGTAAGTCAACAAATGGACAACAGCAAATATTCGGCCATGTTACTGGTGTCGAGCCCGGCACACTGGGCGAATTACAGGAACGCGCTGACTGTGTCAACAAGTCTGAATGTGCTGAGGGAGGGCAGCAGCTGCCGGTAGAGCCTCAAGCATAGAAGTACCTTCCACATCCCCTGATGAGCTGTTAGGGCCCCAGGCTGGGGAATGGCAGATGCAAGATTTAGGACTCTGGGATAACAAGTTGTCTCTGCACTTTTCAACTCCAAGAGCTTCATGTTACCCAACTGGACAGATATAGATCTTTTTGCTTCCTGGAATAATTTTTGAACCATTCACAACATCAGTGGTGGGCTAAATATAATACACAAAATATACATAATACAAAACCCTCAGAGGTAAGCTATGATCAGTTGCAAAAGGGAATCCTTTCCACTGGTGAACTGTGTTGTGTTGTTGTCGTCTGAGCCTAATGAAACCTAATAGCAATGCCCTTAAGGTAATGAAAAACATTTTGTCTCCCCCCAACTCTTCTATAATACCCGTCCTTTTATGTCTATAAGGTTGCCTCCTCTCCCAACTTTTCCCTTAAAATTTTGGTGCTAGCAATAAAGGTTTATGCTTTGGACAGTTCTTATTTTCAATTGAAATAGAAACTTATTGTCATTATTTGGGACTGAACTTGATATGGGAAACATTTCCCAGATAATCAATAAAACCAGCTTTGCTTCTCTCTACAGATAACAAAGTGGCAGGCAGAAGAGCTTCTGACCTCACTGGTCTGCTAACAGCTGTGGATCAAAGATATTGTTGAACCACTCAAGTCTATAAATCTTCTTTTCTGTGATTCCGTCATGTCATGAGAACATTTCCATGGATAGTTTGTTTATACAGGGAAACAAAACAAAACAAAACAAAACAAAACAAAACAAAACAAAAAAACAAGCCCAAATCTCAAACCACCACTTAGAAAAGCCACAAACTCCGGGGCTGTCGTTGGGTCAGACTCTGAGCTCCCTTTCTGGACGGGTTGTTGTGGTAGGTACGTGCGTGTCTGAAGGGGATACATTTTAAAAGCAAGATGGTTCGAAGGATGTAATTTGGTGACATTTTGCTGATGGTACTGCTTGCTGCACGTGCTTCTTCCTGATTTTACTGTTTCAACAGTAGTCCCCTACTTAGGCAGGCTCCACAGTTTTGTGATGGTTTTGTCACGTGTAGTGACTCAATAAACACATTAGCCTTTCCCTGCTAACTTTCGTACTACTTTTTGGTCTGTGCGTATGAATCATAGTGAGCTGAGGAAATACTATTAAATGAGTTGCCCTTATTTTGGTTTATGCCCTGCCCCAATTTTAAGTTTTCAAATTGAAATCTAGCACTTAACTACTACTTTTAACTCTGTGCCTTTTAATTTTGAATACCAAATATGGCAGAGTTATTCAGGTGGCCCAACTAGACTTTTTCTGACCTTGAATGTGGTTCACTGGTATTACATTTAACAACAACAAAAAAAGGATGTCAGTATTTGCTGTTTTAAGGGAGCGTGCACCCTTGAGATTTCCCGAAGATCATTTCTAAAGTCTGACATGTAGCTGCCTGAGTTCTCCATTTTTAGCTAAAAGGCTTCTTCTCTGTGTTCTTATTTAAGTGTCTCTAGAGTGCAAGGCTGGGATAGGTTGCCATGGGTAAATCTTCGGGCATTTCGTCTCTGACAGACGCCAGCATCTGTGGTATTCATTGCACCGTTCTTTAGGTTAGAAATAACACTCTGCTAACCCTGATGGTAGTCCGGGGAATGTTTACTCAGATCAGTTTCCTTCCATCTGTACAGTTTTAAAGCTGGAGGTGAAACACAACACAAGTATGAGGTAAAAAAAAATCTGTCATGCAAAAAGTAATTCATTTCACTGGTAAGACTGGAGTAGCCCTGGGAACTCAAGTTTATGGTGGAGTGTTCAGTGCTGTGTATTATTTTTGTTAGGAACTTGTTGCAGCTATGTGTTTTAATATGGTCAACACGTATTAGATATATTTATTGGGCCAAAGTGTATTTTTTTTTTTGGTTGGGAGGGGACATAGATTCCAGCTAGGGTATTAGTGAGTTTCCACAGCGCATCCCCCAAATCAAAGGAGACACCTTTGTTTTTTAATATAATGCTTATGTAGTCTGAGTAAGAGAGTCTTATTTTGAAAGTTGAGCAAACCACAATTCCTTTATATATGCAGTCAAAGAGCCATTTAGAATCAATTTTAAAAATCTGGAAGGTGTGGTAGCATTGGGTATTCTTCCACACAGAATATATTTTCAATTGAATTACTCTAAGTGTACTGCACTTACCAGTGAAATGAGTTACTTTTTCTATTTAAAAGAGACATTCACTCTATATACATATGCACAGCTGTCAAAAATACATGCTGTTCTTTACCACACAAATCTGTGTTCTCAGCCTTCTCAGGACCTAACCCTGGGGGCGGCCATTTTGCCAAAAAAGCAGTTAGAGTTTCGCTGCCTCAGCCCGAGCTGGCACATGCTTAGAATGTGTCGTTTCTTTCCCCATTGTGAACATCACTTCCCAAACTTTGAATGACATAAAATTAAAGTCAGAGAGTCAAATATGAAAGGTAACTCTCACAGGTGGAAGAGTCATTAGCATATAGTCATCAATCTCTGAAATCCAGGAGCTGGGAGACCATTGTCCCCTTGTATCCTACTGATACTGAGCTGATAGCACTTTTAATGAAACACACCGGCAGTTGTGAAGGGCAGCTGATAACAATGATGCAAACTCGTCGAAAAAGTTGAGAAAAATCTGCAGGAGGTGTTTTCTGTCATTTGGCCTTGTCCTGTTGGCATTTGCTTGGCAAAGGGGAGGCGTTGTTCTTATCTTTGTAGCTATAGAGATGTTAACTGTGCTTAAAAGTCCTGAGTGTGCATTTCTGGACCTGACAATCTCTAGTGAGACTGGTGGAAGCAGCACAATGGGAGGAAAAGCCATACAAACCTGGAACAATTGGCAAGATTTTGGCAATTAAAATAAACGAAAGCTCTTTGGCTATTGAAAAATCTCTTCTTTCTGTTCAAGGCATCTTCAGTGTATACATAAGCTTAGAAAACAGGGTGACCTCAGCTATTTTTCTTGAGGGTTGATGGTGTGTTTTGATTATTAACCACTTCTCTATAAAGCTAGATGAGCTCTTTTATGTAATTAGCATCTTAAAACATACATTGGTCATGTTTCTGCCCTGGAGAGTTTATGAGAGGAAAGTTGGCCTAACAATAGGACCCTTGCGCTAATTAAAGTCATGCCCAAGTAGGTTAACAGGATATAGATGTTTGGTTTTAATCGAGCTTAGAAAGGGTACTGAGTCCTGAAATGTTCTGTTTGGAAAGCTTTGCTCTATAAAACTTGCCTTTAACACAGCGGATCACCCTTAATTAAAATGATATACTTGCTGGAGTGGTGTCTGTTTGAAAAGAAGCACGACCGGGGTGGCTAGGAATTATTAATTTTAATGTATGAAGACACCTCTGTCTGAGATGGCATCTCTGAGTACCTGTCTCCTCTGCTCTGTTTCAGGTGTGAGGCGTGGCTGAGCAGCGAGGCCTGTGATTTACCGCTCTGGAGGGCACGCCTGAGTGTGATTAAGGGCCATGCGTGCAGGGCCCCAAGATTTACTTCCTTCCTGTTCCAGCGGGGCTACCTGAGGGAGTGAGTAATGGGATAATTTATAACCTGGCAGGCCCTTGGTCAAGAGACCACTCGTCAAAACAGGAAGATAAACCTCAGGTTTCAAGGTGCAGAGTGCAGCTTTTGCGGCTGTCTGCGCATGCTTCTTAATTGCTGGCAGCAGGGCCCTTGTCTTTTCCTACACTCAGCTCTAGAAGCTAGTTGGTCAGTCCTCATTAACTTACGTAGATACTGTTAGGTTGTGTATATTTTTTTCCTCCTTGATATTTTTATGTTGTTGAGGTGGGAAAGCAGCTTAGTGGCCAATTATAGAGCTCTAGGTCTTCTTAGAAGGCCGGAGAATTACCAGGGATTGGGAGTGTAATGACAAATTCAGCACCTTTTTTTTTTTTTTTTTTTAAATTTTAATATAGCTGTTTTAGTTTTGAGTTAAAGACATGAGGAAGGGTAAAGTGGAGAGTTTTATTTGGAGGCTAGAGATAGCTGAGAGGTAGAGCTTGTGCTTCATATCCACAATGTCCTGGAATCTATCTCCATCGCCCCTTCCCAAAGACATAAGACATTCGCTTTTTAAAGTTCTGTGTATTTAGAATGAAAGTGTTTAGCTCACTTTGGAGAAGCCTTTGTCTAGGGATTTATTTTAATTTTCAATTTTAGTTCACTTTGGAGTATTTGCAAGTAAGGCATTTGGTAGTGTTCGAATGGTTGGTCTCATGACAAGTTGTTTTCAATATAGGACTTTGTGCTTTATTTTCTTATTAAAAATGCCAGATGAAGCATTTAGAACAAAAATCACCCTACAGTGAAAGCCTCCCCACTGTCTAATGTGATGGGATCTCTGTGCTTATTATTGTTGGTAAGAATAGCTTCATGAACACTCACAAGTGGTATTTTTATGTGAAAAATATTAACTTTATCTTTCGCTGTGGAATGTCTTAGAGGTTGGATTTCTTACTTTAGAGATCAGAAAGATAAAAGGGAGCATCTACCAAGCGCTTCCTTTTCTCCCATATGCTCTAGGTGATGAAAACGTTCCCTTTCCTAATGGGTACCCTTTTGAACTGACCTTTAGGTTCATGGGATGCAAATATTGATGGCCTTGACTTTCTTCTGTGTGTGCAGTTCAGGACGTATAGTATCTCCAGATAACTAGAAACACGTGCAAGTGGTAAGGAGACAGCCCTGAGCTTGATCCCGTAATTCTAGGGGAGCTTGTGACATGGACCCCGTTTCTGGGCTCTGTACAGGGAATGTTCTGTAGGCAAAGCAATTCATAGGTGCAGTTTGTCTGAGTGTCTCTGTAGCCAAATCATGCTGCATTGGACCTCAGTAGATGTCTGAATTGTCTGGCCATGTAGGTGTCTTCTGAGGCAAAAACTATGAGTTACCATATGTATTTACATCCTGAGGTTAAAGAATCCAGTGCTACTACTTCCTAGGATGATATTGTATAGTAGTTAGGTGCTGGGGTGTAGAGTTTCCAGGTTCAAATCCTGCTCCAACCACTTACACGCATTTTGATCTTAAGAACTTATTTAACGGCTCAATTTCCTTGTCTATAAAATGGAGATAAAAATAACATGTACCTTTTCTTTTTTTTAAAGAAGAATTAAATTAGGGCTATCCAACCAAGGTGAGCAAGTTAGTAAAGGCTATTACACGTCTGCATTACCACGCTTTCAGGTGTCCATCCTGTGCCTGTGAAAGCAACTTACCAAGCTAGGACGACATGCAGTTTAAGAAAATATATGAATTTGAAGGTATGCATTCTGCAATGGATGCTCTATTATGTGATAAATCATATAGTGAAACAAGGGAATATAATATTTATTTTTGTAAAATACTATAACAAGTTTTATCTTGTTATTGGTAATAAAGTGATTTTTCTGACTGCACTAAGAAAAGGGAGTATTTGAATACTTGCTCTGTGATATTGTCAAGCGTTATTGGTAGGCCTGATTTATATTATCTATGATGCGCCAGTTTTAGGTGCTGAACTCCATCCCTGCTGGGATTATTATAGTGCATGAGGGGATGGGATCACTGCACTCTGTTCTAGGTACTTCTTTCAATAAGAAGCAGGGGCATCATGAGCTGGTACTTACCCATCTGTCTGTTGAAGCATTTATGTGTATACTGCCTAAGCACTTAGGCAAACCACCCAGAGAGGGGATTTAAAGCTAAGGAGAAAAAGGAAAAATTGAGAACAAATTAACATGATGGAAATACCAGAAGCCTCTTAGCCAAGAACCTCTAAACTATTCTTAAAAGCAAATTTAATAGCCAGCAACAGGGCCATTCACTATTGTCTTTAAGAAACAGAACCTGATCTACAAAGTTGCAACTGAAATATGAAACTGGAAAATTTCCAGGGAAGTCAAGCAATACAGGCTGCTAGCTCTTGAATTCAAGGGGTGGGGGGAGAATCCATTTTACAGAGCAACTTCTTACATTGTGGGCTGTCAATGTTTGATGGGTAGATCCTGAAACATTAACTGATTAAATTCTTCAGTGCTATGTGGTCATCATGGTGGCCCCCACTGTCCTGAGCATCTGTGTTTGTGTCCTGACACATGAGACAGTCACTGGAGGAGGAGTGGGGACAAGAGTGGAGCGTTTTGGCATCCACTTGATTTTTCCTAAGCAGAACCAGCAGAGAGATGTTGAGTGCAGCTGAAATATTATTGATTGCCTATGCTTTATAGCACCTCATAAATTGTCCAGTCCCTTACCAACACCCCATCTGCCAAATTCTCCTTTGCCAATCACAGTGACACAGAAATTGCATGGGGGGAGAGAGACGAGGACAAGTGTTTTGCTCCACACTGGATTCCTTGCCAGCTCTTTTCCTTCTTGCTGTGGACACTTGCACCGTTCAGTTCCACTTGGCAGCTGAGAGCAGAGTTCGTCTCTCGACAGGGTCACCTGGATGCTTTAATCTTGGTGGTTCCTACCCCAAAGCTATGCGCTTCCTTGGAGACTTTTTGCCCATATTCTGGGGGCGAACTATGGTCTGACATCCCCTACCCTTGGATTCTGCGTTTTTCTTTGTACCTGAACATCTCTGGGCCAATGACCTTGTGAGCATTGGGGTGGTTGAGTGGGGCTCCTGAGATCACTTTTATTTGATGGATATAGAAACTGAGGCCCAGAGAAGTGAAGACATTTGCCAAGTGTCATTCAGGCCACCAATGTCAGAAGTATATAAACAGGCTACAGGATTTCACTTTTTCCATTGAGGCATGCTGGGAGGCATGTGGTAAGGTGTAGACTGTACCTAGGTTAGTGGACCAAAGTGGCTTGATGCAGGAATTAAAGGAAAAAGAGGAGGGGCTAAGCAAGGAAGCAGGACTGTGAATGGGATTTGTTAGAAGTTGTATTAGAAGATGGTCCTTTCGTCAGAAAGCGTGAATATTCTTTTCTGATGCACAGGAAAAGGAGAAGATTAAAAGCATGCCAAGGATCAGATTTTTTTTTTTGGCAGTTATTTATTTTCTATTGAAATTAGGAAACAATGATTATTTTTTCATCCTCAGGTAATTTAGGGTAATGGAGTACAGACGGTTCTGATTTTACCTTCTTGCCTCCTGTGGTCTGCACTACCTTTTGTTTGGCTAAAAATGGTCTAAAAGAAAAAGCCAGTGAAGCACTTTCCAGATCTGATAACTTCCGTGATCTCCGGAGAAACCTCTGGCTTGGGTCCCAGGGTGAGGTCACACAGTCTGATCTGAGTAGGATTTATGACGGGAGTGGACCATGGCGCAAGGCAGCGCCATGGCTCCCACGAGCCATTTGTCAGCAGGTAGGAGTGGCTCAGTCCACTGCGCAGCTCTTGGCTGCTCTTCAGGAGCTCCAGCTACCTGTGGATGTGAGTGTGTCTTTTTCAATTGATAGCTATAAATCCATGTGGAAGACATGACTTTTTGGCAACTCGAATTATGACTTAGTCCTTTTCTGTGCTCACTTATCCTCCTGAATTTATACCTGTCTAAGTCCTGAGGTCTGGCATTTTGGTTTCTACCAATCTGTTTACATAATTTCCTAAGGACTCATTTTATGGAAAGGGATAGTTGAATTGGACAGGAGATATTGAATTGCTTATGCCCTATGATATAAGAATAAAAAATAACCGACCGTAGTGGTAAAGCCCAATAGTTCTGACTACTCCAGAAGGTGAGGTGGGAGGATTGTTTGAGCCTGACAGTCTGAGACCACTATGAACAACATAGTGAGACCCTGCCCTAAAAGGCGAGAGGAGGAGAAAGGGAGGGAGAGACAATGAGGAAGACGAAAAAGTCTATTAAGTATGTGTTAATCGGAATACTGTTCATGATAACAAATAATATTTACTAAGTGTTTGTGTGCTCTGTACTGCTCTAAGTACCTTATGAATTGAATTATTAGAATGATCCTATGGAGTTTGTACTATTAACCCTCTTGGCAGACATGAAGCTGAGGAAAAAAGAAGTGATTAGAGACATACAGGGTCTCAAAGGACAAGGAGGAAGTTAGAAAATTAATACTCCACTTGATCAAGAAGCTGAATGCCTAACTGCCTGCTAGCAGCACGAGGGCGAATAATGTGGCCTCTTTTACTTGTCCAAAGGCACCTACAATGCGATGGAAGTGTGCTTATGTGATCCAAACTTTGAAATGTGTTAATAAGAGGAAGGTGATTCTAAGGAGACCATGCTGGCAATTACTTGGACAATTTTCCCAGCTTTACTCCACCTGAAATCATGTTAGAAAACTAAGAATCTTGAATTGCATTAAAGGTAAAAGAAAAAAAAAAAAGACCAGAAAAACAAAATAAAACAAAAAACTGAGAGTGGATTCACTAAAACCTTTATGCTGCACTGAGTGTGAAGTGACCTTGGCAACTCCATCAAGTGACAGCAAAAAAAGGTAACTTGGACAAGCATGAAAAGAAAGAGCACTGATATATTCAGCAACTGGTTTGATACCTTGAATGTTAACACTTTTTGACCATGGTTCTCAGTGGTGAATGCCATCAGATGGGA